AGGAAAAGGACATTTTATGGCCTATGCTATTCCCTAAGAGATGAGTGGCTTTCTACTCACTACCCTAGTCATCTTCAAGTGCATGCAAGCTAATCCTTTCCTTCTACTTTTTTTTTTTTAAGAGTGGAAGTGACAATGACAGATCAGTGGTATCCAAGGTTAGCGCTTTTCTCCAAGTCAATTTTTTTCAACTTGGAACAATTTTGTACCCCTTTCTCCGGCCAGGGACATTTGGCAATGTCTGGAGACATTTTTCATTGTGACAGATGTGTGTGAGAATGCAAACTGGCACCTTGTGGTTAGAAGCCAAGGGTGCAGCTGAACATCCTACGATGCACAGAACGGCCCCTTCACAAGAGTTATCCAGAGCTAAATGTCAACAGTGCCAAGGCTGAAAACCCTGATCTAAGTGAAAAAGAAGAGGTTTAAGTTTGCCTCTACTTAGTCTTTTGGCCACCGTGCCAGTTTTCTGTACCTTCAGAAGGTGTGAGGAGACTCAAGAATAACTTGGACCAGTTGAGACTAAAAAATCATTTTTGGTATAGGACTCACCTCATTTTCAAAAAGCACCCTGCTGGCACCATTTCTCTTTGCAGAGCATGACCCTCCCTGAGTGGAGGGAAATAAAACCACTGACAAAGGGCCTTGTAGAAAATGGAGTTGGGATGTAACTCTGGAGTGTTTCCAGGGAGGACAGCATGGCTGGCATTCAGCAGGACTATCATTAGGTACATCTGTGACCTAAAGATTTTTTCAGTGAAGTTTCCAACTTTAACTCAGTTTTCCAACTTAATCCAAAGGAGACTAAAAATATTTAAATTTAATTTATTCTTAATATTTGTTCACAGATCCTAGACTATTATTTTAAAAACTTACTTATTTACTTAAAAAGTTAAATCATTCTGGGAGCAACTGGAACAATGGGAAGAATATAAACTGCAGGATCAGGAGACCTAGCACCCACCTCTTCCCTGGTTCCAGGCTCCCCTGTCCCAAGGCCTATTCATCCCCTGTGCTTAGATGTTCAATAGGCATCTCTAGATTTACATCTCCTAACAGAGCTTGTGATTTTTGCTACTTATCTCTAAACTGGTCTCCCCTCCCATCTTCTCCAAGGTGGTAAATGGCTCCATGCATCACCCAGTTGTGTAAGCCAAAACCTGGAGTAGGTATTTTTCATTCAATCCTTTCTCTGATGTACCCTCTCTCCCCTACATCCCGCCTAGAAGTAAGTCCTATAACTACCTCCAAAATATATCCTGAATCCAGCCGCTTTCCTCCTTTCCACAGCTAACATGCACAGATGATCCCCAACTTAAACAGTGGTTCAACTTACAATTTTTTGATTTTACAATGGTGTGAAAGCCATATGCATTCAGTAGAAACTGTACTTTGAATTTTGAATTTTGATCTTTTTTCTGGTTAGTGGTATTCAGTACGATACTCCCTCCTGATGCTGGGTAGTTGCTGCAGCCACAGCTCCCAGTCAGCCACACGATTGCAAGGATCATACACCTGTAACCATTCTGTACCCGTGCAACCAATCTGTTTGTCACTTTCAGTGCAGTATTCAATAAATTACAGGAGCTCATCGACACTATTATAAAATAGGCTTTGTGTTAGGTGATTTTGCCCAAATGTAGGCTAATGCAAGTATTCCGAGCACATTTAAGGTAGGCTAGGTTAAGCTATGACATTCAGGAGGGTAGCTATATTCAGCACATTTTTGATTTATGATATTTTCAATTACAGTGGGTTTATTGGGATGTAACCCCATCATAAGTCGAGGAAGATCAGTAGTCCAGGCCACCATGATTTCCCTCCTGACTTCTGCCATCACTCCTTAATTGGTCTCCTGACTTCTGGCCTTTCAGTCCCCACTCCACACACAGCAACCAGGGTATTCAGATCCTGCACACCCTACTCAGACTCCTCCCAGGCTTTCGCACAGCACAGAGAACAAACCAAACTCTTATCATGGCCGACCAGGACCTTCCATCTGCTTTCCCTCTCCTCTTTGCCCACTGACCCAGTGGTATGCAAAAATATACGGTGAAGTTGTTCCGATGTATATTCTCACTATATACATGTATACATTTGTAAATTATACATATATACCACTGTGCTTGTGTTATCTGTAATAGAAAACATACAAAATCATAGAAATTATAAAGTAGACAGTAAAACCAACAGGGGGAAAATTCTAATAGTTTCTTCCAACACCCATACTTGGATACTTTGGTCTTGGGTGCCCCTAGGGTGTGGCAGCCCACACTGGAGACTGGGTTGCTCGAGCCACACTGACTAACTTTCTGCAACGCGATGAGCTCCTCTGCACCTCAGAACTTCTATACTCCCTGTTCTCCGTGTTTGGAACATTTGCCCCCCTAGATCTTCACATGACTGGTTCCTTTTGTCATTCAGGTTTCAGTTCAAAGATCACTTCCTCAGGGGCTGTGTGTCCACTATGTACAAAAATTACGCCCCCAAGTCACTGACCATCACATTACCCTGCTGTACTTCCTTCATGGCATTTATTGCCTTTGAAGTGATAATGTATTTATTTGTAAACTTATTTATTGTTCATCTTTCCAGCAAGACCATAGCTCTATGCAGAGCAGGGGCTTTATCATTTTGGGCACTGAGGGGTCCCCACTGTCTAGAACGGTACCTGGCACATAGCAGGTGCTCAGTATACATTTATGTCTTAACAGAAGTTGGGTATATCACAATCTCTCTGGCCTCACTACTCTCATTTACCAATTAAATGTGTTGGATTCTATGACTTCTAGAATCTTCCCAATTTGAAACAGAACCCTATTTCTAAATCCAAAATTCCAGAGGGTATGACTTATTTCATTTTGTGTAAATATTACCAGACTCAATAAGAACTCATAATAAGAACATTTAAATGAAATGCATTGAATAATAAGTATTGGGGGCAATCAAGAGTTAAAGGCTCAAGAGGAAACTGGATTTCAATATGCAGGACAAAGCCTGATTAAGGCAATGGTCATAAAGAGACAGGCATTTCCAGGTTAAAATTAGAACAGCCTTAACACTAGCAGCCATGGATGGATTTGCTATCTAGGAGAACACTTCCCAAAAGTCATTAATTCTTCACAATGGTTTACTTATTTCTTTTCTTTTCTTTTTTTTTTCCTCACAGAGGTAGCACAGGTAAAGAAAGAGCACAGGCTGGAAGATTTAGGTTCAATGTTCAGTCCTACCAGTTACCAGCAGTGTGGCTTTGCGCAGTTACTAAGCTTTTCTGATTCTCTGATTCTTCACGTATAAAATAAGGTTGATAACAACTTTATGATGGCCGTTGATGGGTCAATGAGATAATGTATGTGGAGGACCTGCCAAAGTTCCTCGCACAGAGTAAGTCCCCAGTAAATTACTGGTTGACTCAAAAGGATGAATGAATGCATATTATTTCTCATTTACTTTCAAAAAGGATTTATATTGCTATAATAAAAAATATATTTGTAATGGGAGAGTTAGAGATAAAAGAAACATCAGCCACTCCTAGGGGTTTAGCCAAGAAAATTGGAAACATATGTTCATACGAAAACCTGTATATGAATGTTCACAGCAGCATTATTCATAATAACTCAAAAGTAGAAACAAGCCAAATGTCCATCAACTGATGAATGGATAAACAAAATGCAGTGTATCTACACACTAGAAGATTATTCAGCCATAAAAAAATGACATATTGATACATGCAGACATATGCTAAGTGAAAAGCGTCAGTCACAAAAGACCACATTATTGTATGATTCCATTTATATGAAATGTGCAGAAGAGGCAAATCCATAGAAGCAGAAACTAGATGAACAGTTGCCAGAGTCTGGAGGAGGGCAAGATGTGCAGTGGCTGCTTAATGGGTGTGGGGTTTCTTTTTGGAGTGATTGAAATGTTCTGGAATTAGATAGTGGTGATGGTTGCACAATTCTGTGAATACACTGAGAACCACTGAACTGTATGCTTAAAAATGATAAAAGTGGTGAATTTTATGGTATGTGAATTTTAAGTCAACAGAAAAAAGTTTTTTAAATAAGGTCATAAACCACATAGGGGACAGGATGGGGTGGGAACAATTATACCAGGAATCGAAATTTGATATTAATTGCAATTGATTACTCTGATGGTTATAACTGATCTTCCCAAGTATATTAGCTGAACTAGAAAAGAATGCTTTGATCAGCTAATGCAAATATTTTGCAGATAAGGTTCCCATACACCACTGGGTCTCCAAGCATGGACCCTGACCAGCAGTACTCCAGACATGCTGAATCAGAAACTCTGGGGATGAGGTCCAGTGATCTGTGTTTTAACAAGGCTTCCAGATTATGTGACATCCGCTAATGTTGTAAAACCACTCTCACACAAGTGGTAATTAGCAGGCTTCTTGGTCAGCTGGATTTTTGACTTTTACAAATTAGGCTTATATGAGTTCAAGCAGCATAAACCAATACCAATTCACTCCTGGGGTTAATTATGTTAGTATGAGAACTACAGAAACATCGTATCTTGCGTCTCATTATATCCAACCTGAAATAGCTCTCTTTCTCACAGTAGGGCTACAGGGGGTTTCAATGCTAGCTAGTCTCTGCATACACATGGCCACAAACACACACTCAATGCTGTATGCCTGGTGCCCAGTGCAGGGCAGAATAAAGTAAGCACTCAAGAAATGCTTGCAAGAAGGATAAACATTATATGCTATCACTTAGATCATATATGTGGAATCTAAAAAATAGTACAAATGGACTTATTTACAAAACAGAAACAGACTCACAGACACAGAAAACAAATTTATGGTTACCAAAGGGGAAGCGGGGAGGAAGGATAAATTGGGAGTATGAGATTAACAGATGCACGCTACCATATATAAAATAAACAACAAGGATTCACTGTATAGTACAGGAAACTGTATTCAATAACTCATAATAACCTATAATGGAAAAGTATCAGAAAAAAAGAATATGGGTATATACATATATATGTATAACCAAATCACTTTGCTGTACACCTGAAACTAACACAGTATTGTAAATCAAATACACTTCAATAAAAAATAAAAAACACTAGGGAAGAGAAGGCATTCTGAATACACATATGAGTATGAACAGGACGCCTCTTAGCTCATTCACTTAAGACTTCTAAAATATCATACTGAAAGTAAAAATGAAATCTAATAGTTAAAGGGAGGAATGTTGCCAATGCCTCTAGATAATAACTGGAAGAGTTTAAAAACTCCCTAAAATCATTAGAGTTCCAGCTCCCCACACTGCATTCGTGGGATAGGCCATGTACACAACTGATCAGAAACATGCTACAGCCACATACAAACACACCACACCTTTGCTGCATGTGTACACATGTGTGCACAATCCCCATACGCTGACATGCACTGTAGTCAGCACGTGCACAAACACACACACACAGAGCTGACACTGAGCTAGAACCCAGCCCGCGCTGGGCCCTGCGACCAGGCAAGAAAGATGGGTGGGCTGGCGGGGCGTATGCCAGGAGGAGCCATTACCGTCGTTCTCCAGAGACCCCGGAGCACCGTTGTTAAAGATTTGATCCACGTGATTCAGTATGAATTCAATCACCACCTGCTGGACCCGGACTGCAAGGAAGGCTGCATCTCCATTGCAACCAGTGGCTTCAATCTCTTTGGACCTGAACGGTGGAAGAAACACATTCAGTTAACGGGTCTGCCCTACCAACCGAGGCATGACAGGGAGCCAGCCAGCCTTTTGTACAAGCCCCCAACTCCTAAATGTGTACAGTGTGTTAATCTGTAGAATATTTTAACTACTTAAGATCAATTAAAGGAACTCTCCAAAGGCTGTGAAGCCCAACACACTGAACAAATTGGAAACAGTTACCAGGATTTATACATCAAAAGACAGTAAACACTGTATTAGCAAATACACAGGAGTTAATTTTTTTCTTCATAGGCTCTTCTTCCACCTCCACCCACTTGTTCTAAGGGCAGGTCATCATTTATGAAGTCACGTGAAGCAGCTGATTCAGGTTATAGCCAGCTGGGACCCCACCAAAACCAACAAAAGCCAAGGAGCCTCAAAGACCCAGAAAGGCCTTTTAAGGAAATTGTAACATACAAGGCCCCAAACCTGGCTACATCTTGGTTGTACCCAGAAAATACCTCTGGGCTCCAGAGATTCCAAGGTTAGTGGGCAAAGGCTATTAAAATCACCTTTCTTTCCCACGTGTTCCAAAAAACCACCCAGCCAAAGGTTTGTCTTCAAGGAGCTTCAGTGTCGAAGAACCCAGTCTTCATATGAGTTGGGGGCTGCTCTGAGCCCACTGGGGTCGTGAGAAGGTGAGGGTGTGCTGGTTACCTGAGGAGGTTGGGTGCCCACACCAGGGCCAGGTTCCTGGCATGCATGTTGGTCTTGCTGCTGAAGGAGGCGATGTGTGCCAGGTGTCGAATCAGGTATTCCAGGGTCCTGTAACGGGTCATTTTTTTTTTCAAGCAAGTGAGAAACTTCAGAGCCTGTGTGAAGCCTGACATCTGGAGACAATTTCTAAGTTTGAATTTAAGAGACTCTGTGTATTTCTATCTCATGAAGTTTGGAGCACTCTCAGGAAGATATCAAGATAGACGGAGGTAGTTTTCTTGGCTGTGGCATGCTGGCTAGGGTGGAGAACAAGGCAGTCTTGTCAGAAGTCAGCAGAGGCCTTTGGAGCACCAGTCAGAGACTGAACCGAGGACTCATTGGACCCGGAACCTAAGGGCTCCTCATGGCTCCTTGTGCCTCCTTTCACCCAAGGCAGCGTCTTCACCACACTGACTTGAAACTGGCCCCCAGCTCGGCTCTTACTTTAAGTCTTCCAGCTACAGGTACCTTGGTGCTTGTCAGGGAGCTCATTTCAGGGATGGATGACATCTATTATTGCTGGTAAGTTCTTTCTAATACCACATCAGAATCTGCCCTCTTGTAAAAGCTGGGCAGGCTTGGGGAATACTGGGAAAGGTTGGTAAGATTAGGGGACTAAATTGTGAGAATGAAATAAAAAGATGGGATGATGTAAGGGATGGTACTGATGAGCATCTGGACAGATCAGTCAGTCAAACTCTGTTTAAAAACCACCTTGGGTTCCATAGATTAGATTATGCTATGAACCTGGGTAAGAAACTTCAGTATCCCTGTGAGGCTGGCTTCTGCAATCAGAATGACCTCTTGTGGCACTCTGAGGGGGTGCCCTGGAAGGGACTTGGACACAGGCTGCCCCTTCCCACCAATGTCTCTGGTCAGGCAAGAACTCACTCTAATAAAAGTGACCTGTTCCCCCAACTCAGAATGCCCTGGGAGGACTACTGACCACTGAATTCATTCCCTTTTCTGATGCCTGCCTGCATCTATGGTATTACATCACGTCGAGAGGCTGTGCATTTCTTTTACCAGGGCTTCTTACCTGTAATGGGATGGGGGTAGCTCCTGGATAACATTTTGGATTCGGGCCAGTTGGCCTTCTTCCGGGCAATGCGACACTGCCTCCTGTGGACAAGAACAGGAAGCAGCCCAGTGAGTACTTGAGAGGGTGGCCACCCACCTGTCTGCTGCTTTCATTTAGGCTTCTGGTCCTCCAGCCTCCCAGCCTCCCATGCGTGGAGATCATCCTGCCAAGAAGCATGCTTTCTAGTAAAAATAAACCACTAAAATCTCTGACGGTTCAAGATGGGACATGTCTAACAAGCAGGCACATGGGGTCTCTGTCATCAGATGGTTGGTAGGTAACTGATAAGGAAGGTGTAGAGTCTTGGGTGTGTCCTGTGTGGCAGAGAGTCATAGAGGCTCACACTGGGAGAGAGAAACAAGAGACTCAGACAGAGTGAGATGGATGAGAGAGCCGCTCCACATTTACCCTCAGCTGGCTGTCTTTTGGGGTGAAAACAGCCACTCCCCACCTAATCCGAGACTACCCATGGCCTGGCTATCTCCACAGCTGCCTGTCGTAGATGCCAGGAAACAGGGAAGACATGGAGACCTTCTCAGCAGGATAAGAGCTTTGTCCCTGAGACCCAGTGGCCTTGTCCAGACTTGCTCTCTGGTTGCTTCCGGTGTGGGAATTTGGTTCTCCCTCTGCCCAGGCCCACAAGGAGAGGCAGGGCTTCAGTAAAGGCACAGTGATCGCAGGCTTGGCAGGGGCTCCAGCACGACGCAGGTGTCCCTGGGCAGATTCGGCTAAGAATCTGTCCTGTCTGTGCTCAGGCCCCGCCCAGGGCAGTGGCTGAGTGCTCAAGACCACCAGCATGGGAGCCATACCTAAGTTCAAGGTCAGTGGTAACCACATCTTTCTTTTTTTACTGAGGTATAATTTACATATATTAAAAACGTATGAATCTTCTGCTACAGCTCCCTGAGTCCTTTCAAATGCATATAATTCTGTAACCCCACTCAGATCAAGAGACACTTTCCAAGGGGCTCCTGAGCTCACCTCAATCCACAGACATATGTGACTTACACACTCCTGTATCCCAATGCTGGAAACTTGCTTTACATTTGTACATACTGAAAAGTTTAATCAGAAAATACATTCTTTAATCTGATGAATGCTGCCTTCTACAATACAACCAAAAAGAAGGTCCTAACTGTGGTCTGATTTTCTTAAATTGTTCAGTCATTAACTGTCACTTCTTGCTTGGGAGTAAAGACTTGAAGTTCAAACTCTCAGTAATGGGAATTTTTAGGCATAGAGGAGTGGAAGGAAATTAACTTTATTGGGTGCCTTCTGTTTGCCAGACCCTATTCTAGGCCACACTTGTTGTGTCTGTTCTGTTCTCACTTGGAGGAGAACTTCAAGACGCTGTCCCAGCCTGGCCCTCCCACCGCCCTGTGCTTCCTCCATCTTTTCCCACAGCATTCATCACCGTTACTGATACTACATAGTGTCCTTGTTCATGAGGCTTATTGCTTATTGTCTGTCTTCCTTGCTAGACGGACGCTCTGTAGGTGCAGGGATGTGCAGGGTCCCAGTGCCCAGAACTGCGCCCTTTACCCAGTAGGTGCTCCCCGGAGGTCTGCTGGATGACTGCACATTTCCTCCCCCATTTCCCTAAGTGGGACATCATGCCAAGGCTTTGTCCACCAAGTTGGTTTTGCTCTTCTTTTACTTTTTCATTTAATTGAAGTAAAACATTCACAGAAGCAAACCATTTTCAAAGG